CCCTCCCACCCGTTTTTTTCTGGGGATCCTGTGCTCGATCTGGCTGGATCTGCACCCGAGTCTGCTGGGTCTTCTGAGTCCTTTCCTGGGGCTCCTGAGTGGGTGGTCCCGCAGTCGATGGTTCCACAATTGGTGGTTCCTGGGGTGGTTCCAGTTCCAGTGGTTCCAGACTCGGCAATTCCACAGTCTGTGGTTCCGCAGGTGGAGGTTTGGGTGGTTCCACGRTCGGTGGTTCCACGGTTGGTGGTCTCAATGTCTCCTATGTCGGCGAGCCCTGAATCTGCGATCCTTGAGGTTCCTGGGTCGGCTGCCGTCGCCTCCATGTCGCCTGGGTTGGCTGCCGTCGCCTCCATGTCGCCTGGGTCGGCTGCTGTCACCTCCATGTCACCTGGGTCGGCTGCCATCGCCTTCATGTCACCTGGGTCGTCAGTCTTCACCTCTTCATCCCCTCTATCGCCTGTGTTCACCGTCACAAAGGCTCCCGCTCCATCAACCTCCGACGGCTCCTCATCGCCTCCCACTTCCTCCCTCGACTCCATGTCTGCTCCTGCCTCCTCCCTCGACTCCACGTCTGYTCCTCTCTTGACTCCACGTCTGCTCCTGCCTCCTCCTGTGGCTCTGCGTCTGCTCCTGCAGGATCTCGCCATGAGTGTTTTCCTGGCCACTTTTCCGACCTCCTGCCTCATTGGGGAGGTTTTCCTGGTCGTCCCCCTGGACTTTCGTGTTATGTCTTTGAGTTTGTTTTGTCCCGTCTCCCGTTGTTCCATGCCTCTCCTTGTTGATCGTCGGGAGACGATTGTTAAGGGAGAGGTACTGTCATKGTTTGTCAATGTTTACCTTGGTTTCCCTAGTATTTATATGTTTCCCTGTGTGTCTCAGCCCAGCTGCCCCACATTACCTTGATTATCACCCTTGTGTTTCTCCCCAGGTGTTTTCTGTTTGTTCATTAGTTCTCAGTGTTTTTAAGCCCTGTCCTGTCTCAGTCTCCTTGTCGGTTCATTATGTTTTGTCTCTGAACTTTGTCTCCCTCGTGCCTGTTCCTTTTTGAGATCCTGTGAGTACATCGACAGCTTTTTTTTTGTTATTTAATAAATCCTTTTTGTTCCATTCTGAACCTGCCTGTGCCCTGGGTCTATTCTTGTTAGTTATATACTGTATAATGCAGAAAAACCTCAGGCGAGGGGAAAAAGAGCCATTTTTTCTATGTTCCATCCTCAGTATCTCTGAAACAAAAGCATATGATGTTATACTTACACCCCTGATTAAATCGCCCAAGTGTTAGCTTTATTTTGATATCAAAGGTTGGGATATTTGGTGATTTTAGGTACTGAGAAACACCCACTTACATTTGGGCATGACTTTTCGAGCACAAACTTCAAGACAACCCCTTGGGGCTTAAGAGGTTAAAAACGGGGACTGCAGAGTGTGTTCCAACTATAGGGGGATCACACTTCTGAGCCTCCCTGGTAAGGTCTATTCGGGGGATTCTGGAGAGGAGGGTCCATCGGATAGTCGAATCTCGGATTCAGGAAGAGCAGTGTGGTTTTTGTCCTGGTCGTGGAACCATGGACCAGCTCTACACCCTCAGCAAGGTCCTAGAGGGTGCATGGGTGTTCGCCCAACCAGTCTGCATGTGTTTAGTGGACTTGAAGAAAGCGTTCGACCTTGTCCCTCAGGGACTCCTGTGGGGGGTACTCTGGGAGTTTGGGGTATCAGGCCCATTGATACGGGCTGTTAGGTCCATGTATGACTGGTGCCAGAGCTTGGTCCGCATTGCCGGTAGTAAGTCGGACTCATTTCCGGTGAGGGTTGGACTCCGCCAGTGTTGCCCTTTGTCACCGATTCTGTTCATAACTTTTATTGACACAATTTCCAGGAGCAGCCAAGGTGTTGAGGGGATCCTTTTTGGTGACCTTAGGATCACATCTGCTTTTTGTGGATGATGTGGTCCTATTGGCTTCATCAGATTGTGATTTCCAGCTCTCGCTGGAGCGGTTCGCAGCCGAGTGTGAAGTGGCCGGGATGAGGATCAGTGCATCCAAATCCGAGACCATGTTCTTGAGCCGGAAACTGGTAGCGTGCCGTCTCCGGGTCAGGGAGGAGGTCCTGTCCAAAGTGGAGGAGTTCTAGTATCTCGGGTCTTGTTCACGAATGAGGAAAGAATGGAGCGGGAGATCAACAGGCAGATTGGTGCTGCGTCTGCAGTGATGCGGGTGCTGTATCGGTCTGTCATGGTGAAGCAGGAGCTGAGCCAGAAGGTAAAGCTCGTGGTTTACCGGTCGGTCTACGTTCCTACCCTCAYCTATGGTCACGAACATTGGGTAGTGACTGAAAGAACGAGATCGCGGATACAAGCGGCTGAAATGAGTTTCCTTCGCAGGGTGTCTGGGCACTCCCTTAGAGATAGGGTGAGAAGCTCAGTCATCCGGGAGGGATTCAGAGTAGAACGTGTGCTCCTCCATGTCGAGAGGAGCCAGTTGAGGTGCCTCGGGCATCTGATTAGCATGCCTCCTGGACGCCTCCCTGGTGAGGTGTCCTGGGCATGTCCCACTGGGAGGAGGCCCAGAGGAATATCCAGGACATGCTGGAGGGACTATGTTTCTTGGCTTGCCTGGAAACGCCTTGGGATTCCCCTGGACAAGCTGGCCCAAGTGGCAGGGGAGAGGGAAGTCTGGGTCTCTCTGCTTAGGCTGCTGTCCCCGTGACCCGATCCAGGATAAGCGGCAGAAAACAGATGGATGGACAGTTTAAAGAGTAACTTACCCCAAAATTAACTTTTTTTAGCTGATAAACTGTCTAGAATGTGTCTAAAATTTTATATAGTACTGTTTCTGTGCTAATTTTGATGTTTTTGTGCGTATTTGTTCAAATCTGTAATATTTGGTCTAAAAACGTGTTTTTGCTGCTCATATGGGTAGAGCAGTGGTACTACAGGCTAATTTGCATATTGGTTAACGGCTCTCAGCTGTGACGTGCTTCTCCACGGTTTCGTCACAGCGGCTGTTTTCTGGTATAAAAGCCTCTCTCTAAGACGCCCCTTCAGCAGTCAGAGGGTGGAACAGTTAGCAAGCTTAGCATGATCGTCTGTTGACCTTCAGCCTTGGGTGAGGTCAGAGCTGACTGCTGCGCTTCTTTCTCTCTCTCTCTCTCTCTCTCTCTCTCTCTCTCTCTCTCTGTCTGTCTCTCCACACACACACACACACACACACACACACACACCAAACAGCCATCTTCCAAACTGTTCTGCCGCTAGAAATAAGTTACTTTTTCCCCTCTCTCCTTTCCTCCTGCTCTGCAGCTGACCCCCCCCCCCCCCCCCGCAGGTGCGAGTTGTAAGGATTTTTTGCAAAATTTATGGATTTTTAGGGCTCTTTATACAGGTAAATTACTTTTATTCCTGATTTAAACTAGCGATCATGTGAGCAGCTGTATGCATTAATTTTTTTCTGTCAGGCTGTCGGAGCGCTCCTCTGTCCGGTGCTGGCGTGGGGTGAAAATCCTCCACCTCAGACGTTCAGAGATGTAACTGTCTGCGATACTGTGGTCACTCTCCATGTAGCATCCATTATGCTAATGCTATCTGCCTGTCACGTTCTCTCGTCCTGGCCACACCTCCGCTCTCTAACCCCCCTTCCCCTACCCACACCCTCTCCCCTACCCACACCCCATCCCCTACCCACTTTGATGCATTTTTCAAATTTCGCCTTGGGGCGAAGTTATCTTTTCACGGGGGGGTAAGATACACTTTAAACTGATGTTCACTTCGACAAACATCAGATAAGTATCTGATTTAGTGCCAGATTCTAATTTTTAAAATGTGTTTTTAAAATCACTGTGTAATGTTTAAATTCTAACCAGGGGCATTTTTAGGCTCTTGAAACATCAGGGGCTTTAGCCCAGACCTCTTCTTCCTCTCCCCTCTTTTAAAAGTGCTCTTTCACATCTTTATTTATCCATTATTAAAACTATTGTTATATTTTGTTTGTTTGATCATTATATTAATTATACTGGATAAAATTGATTTACATATAACATGTATGTATAAGATATAACATCATGTGCTGTAAAACTAACTTCTGTCAGCAGCAAGGAGCAGTTATAAAAACTACATGTTGCTGATAATTTATTTTTAAAGTCAACTAAACATGCTCTCACATTATTTGCTTATCATATGTAACAAGAGAAGATTTCAAATTTTAACCCAGCCTCCTGTGTTTTTCGCTACCAGTAGATATATGAACAGCTCTTACAGAATTGTTGTGTTCTGGTATATACAGACATTAGTACCACAGAGGAAAGTAAAGACACAAGGTGATTGCAGCCAGACCGTCATTTGATTATTGCCAGAAACATCTGCTGTAGGCCTATCAGTAACAGTTCCAACACTTCAACTAAACATCAGATATTTCATGGTGACAAAACAGTATAACTTTTTAAAAACAAGATTGTATATATATATATATATGTATACAAAGTATTTAATTTAAATGGTAAATGGACTGAACTTATGGACCATTTTATCAAGTCCCTCCAGACCCCAAAGCACTTTACACTTACAGACATTCACCCATTCACACTCACATTCACACACTGAAGATGGCAAAATACATTGTAGCCACAGTTGCCCTGGGGCACACTGACGGAGGTGGGGCTGCCATTAGGGATGGCGTGATTTTTGATTCAATCGTCTATCGGCAATTGAAGGGTTGGAATGTGTTTTTTTTAAAGGGCGATCTTTATTAATTAATTAAATGCTGTGCCAGGGATGTAAAATAAATTTTATATGCACCCTTCTCTGTAAATTAAAATGTTTTAATCATCATCATTGTGATCTGTGCAAATGAGGGAATGAAATAATTAATATACAGTGCTGCGTCTGTTTTTTTTTTTTTTTCTCGGAGTCAGCACCAACATGCGCAGCTCCTCTTCACGTCTCTCTTCTCGTCATCTTGCTTTGGAGCGCCACAAGTGACCCAAATAGTGCTATATTATTATGTTTAGTTACATTGTAGCTGGGATAATTTTACTTATTAAAGCTCATAATCTTACCACTTGAAACATCACTAGCCCTGAAGCTGCTGGTAGACACCGTGGTTGGAATTATCAAAGGTTTTTGACACCTGAGAGACACCGTAGCAACTCCTTTGCATTTGGAAGTGGGGGGTGGGGGTGGGGGGGATGACCATGGAGGATGACTCAACCACTAGATGTTGCTGAAAACAACAAATCCTACACACTGTGCCTTTAATAAGGAAAYATTAAATGGTTATTTATTCTGACCACATCATATTGGATTTTTGAAAAAAAAAATTGTTTTACACCA